GTGCATGGTATGAACGATTAAGTAAATTTTTTATTGAAAATAATTTTTCTAGAGGAACGATTGACACAACACTTTTTGTTAAAACTAAAAATGATGATTTACTTATTGTGCAAATATATGTGGATGACATTATATTTGGTGCTACTAATAAAACTCTGTGTAAGGAATTTGCTAAGTGTATGCAATGTGAGTTTGAGATGAGCATGATGGGGGAGCTAAATTATTTCTTGGACTTCAAATCAAACAATGTAAGGAAGGAATTTTTATTAACCAAGCTAAGTATACAAAAGAACTACTCAAAAAGTTTGTTATGTATCACTCAAAAATAGCTGGAACACCTATGAGGACATCCATTAAGCTAGACAAGGATGAAAAAGGTAAGTCCATTGATCAAACAAAATATCGAGGTATGATCGGCTCACTTCTTTATTTAACTACAAGTAGACCCGATATTATGTTTAGAGTTTGTATGTGTGCTAGATATCAATCAAACCCTAAGTAATCACATCTCGGTGCGGTTAAAAAAAATTTTAGATATCTTGTTGGCACTCAAAATTTGAGACTGTTTTATCCTAGAAGTGTTGCATTTGATTTAATTAGTTACTCGGATGCCGACTTTGCCGGATGCAAACTTGATAGAAAAAGCACCAGTGGCACTTGTCACTTTTTTAGTAACTGATTAGTATCTTGGTTTAGCAAAAAGCAAAATTATGTTGCTTTATCAACGACCGAAGCTGAATATATAGCTTCCGAAAGTTGTTGTGCCCAAATACTTTGGATGAAACAACAATTTGAGGATTTTGATTTGCATCATGATCATATCCCTATTAAATGTGATAATACTAGTGCCATCAATTTAAGCAAAAATCTGGTTCAACACTCACGAACAAAACATATTGAAATTTGACATCATTTTTTAAGAGATCATGTTCAAAAAAGGAATATTCTACTTGAATTTGTAAACACCGACAAGCAATTGGCGGATATTTTCACAAAATCCCTAAGCAAGGATCGCTTCAATTTTATTCGTAGTGAGCTTGGAATGTTGATTTCTACTTAAAAAGTTTTGTTATGACTGCGAAACTTGAATTTTTGTTAAAATGATATATGTGTATTGTTATATTGATAAGGAAACATTTATATCAGTTGAATGCTCTCAAGTCCTTCATACATTTATTCTTCTTAACAATTTACTATTTTCAACTGTGTAATTTTTTTTGGGTTCTGCATCTTGAAGTAAAATTAACTTTACATGCATTCATTTTTTTTAAACTCTCATAGTATTTTTTTTTACATTACCATTCCAGCAACACCAACGCCCCATTACGTTTAATTTCTGCTGGTATTATTTTATTTTATTTTTTTGATGTCATTTATCCCTATCATTTTCCTCCTCCTCCTCTAGATTCTGACCCATGATTTCCTTTTGATAATGTCACAGGGGGAGAACTTATATGATGTTATATATTATGGTATTATTTTCAAATTATGGTATTATTTGAGAATTAATCTGATAATTATGTATTTATAGTTTGATATCTTAGTCTCATATCATGTCTCTAATTAAAACTTATTTATTACACATTGCTAACCTATGTATTTAGAAATGGATTCAAGGAGCATGACTTGAGAGAGAGCTTTTCTTACTCCAAAATCAAATCAAAACATCATTGTGTGCCATCATCAAAAAGGGGGAGATTGTTAAACTTATTTGTTTTGATGATTTATTTTGTTTTTAATTTATTTGGAAGAGAAAAATAGAATCAAAATTTATTTTGATGATTTATTTGAAAGAAAAAAAATAGAATTAACATTTATTTTGATGATTTTATGTTTTAATTTATTTGAAAGAGAAAAATAGAATCAAAATTTATTTTGTCCTATTATTTCTCACCTAAACTTTTATTCTAAATGTTGTTAGAATGTATTTAATATTTGATTAAATCAGGAGTTCAAATAGTCTAAAAACAGAGGTTCAAACAGCCCAACACAGCTGTAGTTCAAAACGTTCAAGTGGAAGATATTCAAATTTGTAATGATGGAGTGGAAGATATTCAAATTAGTAATGATGAAGTACAACGGCTATAAATTAAAATGAATACAACGGCTATAAACGGTTATAAGTTTCATTATATATACTAAAGGCTTTAATGTGAACAAGTTACAAAAAATAAAAAATATTCTTTGATCTATAATCACTCATATCTATTCTCTGAAAAATTCTTTGAGGAGTGTTCTTCAATTTTTGTTTACATCATTTTTTAGAAATTATACATTGAGACGTATAGTTTTAAGCCCATCTTTCCTGTGTGAGGTTTACAGAAAAATCAGAGTTTCATTTTTATATCTATCTTTAAGAGATAATTCTTGTAGCTTTCTGTGAAAGCAAAAATACCTTCTTTTCAACTTTGTAAGAGTACACTCAGCGTTCTTGACTTAGAAAGTCTGTGTAAAATCCGTGGAGGATTGCTCTATTTGTAAAGAGGTTGCTAGCACCCCTATGAAACTAGAGCATAGTGGAAAATCTCAAGTGAAGCTTGAGGAGTGGACGTAGGCTGAGTTGAAACTGAACCACTATAAATTTGTTTGCCTTTCTCTCCCTTATCTCTTTATTTTATTTAAATTATTGTAGCTATATTTCACATTTTCACTGTGCTAAAATCATTAACTGACATAGTTGTTAGAACACTTGTTTTAATTATTTTTATTTCATTAACTATATTTATCTATTGTACTAGTCATAATTTTTATTAAAGTATTATTAATTTTTAATTGTAAAAATCTAATTCAACCCCCCTCTTACGTTGTCTTTTAGGTAACACCCTTGATTTTTGAGAAGATACGCCACTGTTAGCTTCATCCAGTATCAAACTTATTGGGCAAAAGGAGAGACTAGATAGAACATGAAGGTTGCAAATTTGAAAAGTAATTTGAATTGAAAGAACTTCTCATACATCTGAAAACAAAAGTGGATGCATACTAAGGGTTAGTGTTTTGATTGAAGGGGAAAAGGGTATTTTGATAATTTTATTTTAAAACAAAAATGTAATAAAAAAATTCATTAAATGTGCTGATAGAGAATAAATGATGTGTGAAAATAGAATTTCCCATTGTTTAGCCCAACTCATTTACCAAACAACCCTTAAATGGGCCCCATCCCATGAATTTTTAATCCAAGCCATCTCCCCAAAAAATAATTCGTCTACTTTTGAAAACACTATATTGTTGTCTTTTTTTTCTTTTAAACAAATGCGATACATTGAATAAATTATTATTATTGAATAGATTTTTTTTTTAATGATATATATAAAGATTAGGACAAAATAAACAATTTAAATTATTGAACTAAACATGAGACTCACAAATCTAGACAATACCCTCTCGGAGTGGAGGGAGGCCAAATCTGATAACATCAATGAATACAAAATTATAAAATTTATATAATATTACTCATTATTTTTGTATGACATGACTAATAAATAAAAAAATTGTAAATTAAATCAGATGAGCCCTCATTCTCTTACAAATCTAGTTATACAATTCCATTACTGCAATATGATTTTTTTTTATTATTTATTGTTTTTTATTTATACTATATATATATGTATATATATTCTTCTAGACTAAAAGCATCTACTGGCTTAAAAATTGAATCAAATCTAGAAAAAAAAAAAATGTTCACTAAAAATTTAAGGATCAATTTTTATCTTCACTACTAATTTATACACAACAAGACAATCCCAATTACAAACTGAAGACAAAGCTTGACTTGTTAAGTTGTTATAATAATAAATAAATTAAGGGCGTGCACAAATCATAAACCCATGTTCATTAAACACTATCATCAATCAAAATGCATGTTATTAAATTTAATTAAGTAATATATATATATATATATATATTACTTAATTAAATTATTCTACTATAATTTTGTTTTTACTTACAGAGCTGCCCATGCGCAACAGTGGGCCTATTATGTTTTGAACTGAAAGTTGTCAATCGAATTGAACCAAGACCAAGTGAATTGTGAATAGAATTGAATTTGTAACCAACAACAAAATTTGTTATGTTTTACATTCAACAATACAAGTGAAGCCAATATGGTGATAGAGAGCTATCCAGTATTTAAATAAATAAATAAAAATTTCTGCAAGGCTGTGCCATTTGGTAAATGCCAATTGATAATGCTTCACATCCAACAAAAAATAGCATTTTTGGACTAAACATTACATATTTACTGAACAAAATGAAACAAGAGCCCTATGAATTTTTTTTTTTTTTTTTTTTTAGCTTACATGGCCATTATTGTTAATCCATATTAAACTAACATTGCAGCAAAAAATAAATAAATAAATAAATAAATAAATTAAAATACAGATACTATTGGCTATATAATTTGTATAAGTCAATCACAGCTTAGCACATGACTTGTAAAAGGTAATTTGGAGAGTTAATGCAAGTCTCCAATCAGCAACAGACACGTGGCAGTTCATATTGATAATAATGGATCTGCACAACAATGGAGCAGTTAGAGGGCGCGAACGGTTACTCACAATTTAAATTCAAATTCAAATTCAAGAGAGAAGCCCAACTGGAAGGAAGGCGTAGTGAGAGTAGATTGTTCAGGGCCATAACCAATGATCGTGAAAGGGCATTTCGACTGTTAGAAGTCCACTTCGACGATTATCATTGGAGAGTATACATAGAAAAGAATGCCAACAGAAGAGGCCCCAGATTCAAATTCAAAAACCAGTTATTTACTTCATCTTTTTCTTTTCAGTTGTTACATTTCCAGTTCTTCAATTCTTGTACTGCACTTCATTTCCTATGAGTAGTTTCAAGTAGTTATTGCTGTAAATCTTTTTGAGGCTAGGTCATTCCATTGTAAGTTCTCATTTGCTTAATGAAATTAAGTTTCTAAACTGTTCTTTGTACTAATCATTATTTATAAGTTTCTCCTAAGTAAGTCACCAATAAAAACTTTTTCATTGAGGCTGAAAGAACTTCAACACAATCGTCTGATAATTGGTTGGCAATAAAAATTCTATAAGGATTTATTGATCCTTACTGGCACGATTAAAATTACATAATTAACCTTCAAAAAGCCAAAAAAGTGAACCATTTAATAAATTGGGTAGAAATCAGATTCTTGATTAGTACTGAAATTAATGCAAGTAATTTTCAATCTTTAGTTTGGCTTCACCACAATAGGACTTCTCACATGGTGCTTACCATCTGACCACGTCAATTCTCCAAATACATAGTCTCTACCCTTATTTCCTCCTTCAACCTTCATAGTAACCTTGAATGTCCTCCGTTCGCCGACTTTTCCAAACTTCAAGCTTTCTGGCTGGACAAAAACAGAAATACCAGCCGGGTTTTGGACATGTGCACTGTAAGTACCGGGAGAACCAACATTCTTAAGAGTCCGAGTCACGGTGGTTGAGCCATTGAGCGCAAGGATTGTGATTGAAGGGTAGTTGAAGTTGGCAAGACTGATAGGATTGGGACATTTATAGGGACTTTTTGAGAACATTGCGATTTGAGTTTGATTGTACCCGAGGGCACAGAGAAAATTCAGGTAATCGTTTGGGGTTAAATCGTAAACCAAGCCTGGATCCATAGCACGGTTTGGTTGCACATGTCCTGCTCCGTAACTGAATGGTGTTGCCTTGAAGTTTGATGCATTGGTCAGTGGCTCCTTAATGTTGTCCTGTGTTGTTGCTGCAAAAAGTAGGATGAAATATAAGGATCAAGAATAGATTTAATCCATCATGAGATTACTACAATACCCATATGATGTCATGTTAAAAAAAGTACCCGAGATGGAACATTAGAAGTGAAATTTCACACTAGTACAACTATTAAGGTGGTTTTAGCAGCAATAAGATTTCCGTAACGTCAACTTGGACAGCAAAATTTCACTGTATGAGATTAGCATTTAAACAACAAAATTCCCCCACCACTACCCCTAACCACCACACTCACCATCATCAGTCAAAAAAATGAAAGGATAATTTTTTTCAAACTTGTATCATTTTCTCCATCTTCTCAACAAACAAACACAATGCTTGGCTTCAAAAAGAAGTTAATAATACTAACAATAATTCAGAAGTAGAATAATTTGCAAGGTTTTGTTTTTTTTCTCACCAGTGGTCATGATTGCCGATTTAATTGCTGAAGGACTCCAAGTAGGATAGAGGGTCTTTAGAAGGCCAACAATGCCAGAAATATGAGGGCATGACATGGAAGTGCCCGATACTGAATTAAACAGAACTCGACGCTTATCAAAATCTTGGTTTGTTGGCCCTTGTGCTTCAGTGTAAGCAGCTATGACACTCACTCCCGGTGCTGTGATATCGGGCTGAAAAACAACAGTAATTACCGACTATCGTTAAGATACATGAAACCTAATAAAAATTTCTAGAAACAGCATATCAAAGCTTTGGTTTGAAGAACAAAAAAAAGAAGTTAAGAAAAAAACCTTTAGGATCTCTGGGGTAATGGTGCTTGGCCCCTTTGATGAAAAAGCCGCCATGAATGGAGCTGGCTTCGTCCCCAATCGAGTTGTTGGATGTGTAATGTAAGCCATTGGATACCTGATGAAAACATGCAATTCTCAGAACCAAAAAAAAAAAAAAAAAAGAAAGGGAAATTTTCAAATTTCTCCTTATGGACCTTCTATTATGCAATGCAATTGGATGAGGCTTAACTAGACACCTAGTTTACTTTTACTATCCCAATTTTAATAGTCTGCCCAAAATTATGACAATTTTTGTGATTGTTGGACATGAACAATTATTTTCCATCAAATAAAAGTGATTTAGGGCATATCATTCAATACCCACAAATTTTCATGGTGGTCGGTGTTTTTAGAAGTTGATAAGCTCACTAACATGATGATACTACTATTGGCATCTCATTTTACCTCGTGTGGTTGACATAAGCGAAAACAGCACCGCCATCGATGTAATTGATATGAGAAGCTGGGAGGACATGAGGATCAGCAATAATTTCATTTCCTGAAAGCTGATTATTAGCAAGAACCATCCCCACAGCACCAGCCAAGGCTGCTTGCTGACCCTTGTCGACTCTTGCATTGTCCCCTCGAAGGCAAACCAAGATTTTTCCCTTCGCCTTTTTAGGATCCAGCGATCCGGGCTTGCAAAGCAGTCTGCGCAAATAAAAAACAAATATCCAAATAAAGCACAGAACACACTTTTTACATTGAGGGCTTTTCAGCATAATGTTTATACAGAATCAGAATTCCAATGGCTTGAGTGTTTTGTCCTTACGCATCTCCAACTGACGCATTTGCAGCTTTGGCATCTGCAGCGCTAATAATTGGAAATAACTTGTTTGGCAACGCTTCAGTCGAAAGGCTTTCCCCCTTTAGTAAACAAAATATTTATGAGTATTATACAATGAATATTTTTAAAAGCAATCATGATGAGTAATATCATACAGACATAATAATCTAATGAAAATATACCAGCATTTCAGAAGAAAAGTGAAAAATTCCCATTAATTTATCAAAAACCCGTGCCAACATTAGCCCTGGATTCATATGTAGAACCCCAAGTAGTATACATTTTCTTTTCATGTTTTAGTAAATTAACTGAACATTTTCTTCTCTGCCCTGTCTCCTTAAAAACATTTTCAATATTTCTAGAAGTTGTGCTTCCAGCTTTTCAAACCATATTTCAGAAAATGCAGTGTTTGAACTGGGGCCCTGACGGCGATCAGAAAGGCAGGACAATAAATTGAATGATATATGAATTTTAGTAAAATTAGGAATTATTGTCTAATATGAGACCAGGACAAGGAGAGGACACTAACTTTGAACCTCATTTTGTTGCCAAGAATAACATAACTAGGAAATTGGCGATCCATGGTGCTAGCTCCAACTGTTATCTGCCACGGTGCAATGTTGGAAACAGTCCCATCAGCCGGTCCAGAATTTCCAGCCGAGCAAATGACCACTATGCCATTCCTAACAGCATGAAAGGACCCGATGGCTACGCTGTCATTGAAAAGGGCCATGGGGTCCCCGCCAAGTGATACGGAGATCACATCAACACCGTCATGGATGGCCATATCGAAGCCAGCCAGTACATCCGCATCAAAGCACTCATTGCCACCCACAGGGGGCCAGCACACCTTGTAAGCTGCCACCCGGGCTTTTGGTGATCCGCCTTTCGCTGTTCCATTTCCAAAACCAAATACATTTGCCCCGGGTACAAAATTACCACCAGCTGTCGATAATGTGTGGGACCCATGGCCTTCGGTATCACGCGGTGAATCAAAGGAAGAGTTGAGAGCACCCACAGCTGCAGCATATCCTTTGTTGAAGTATCTTGCTCCAATCAGCTTCCTTTAGAATAGGCAAACAATGAATAGATGTGAACATTCTAAAAACACTTTTATTTGAAGTATGCTAAGCACAAGGGTGATAAGCCCATTTCATCTGAAACCTGACTTTTTTACCCCTGATGTTTCAAATTTTGATTATCCAATGGCCACAATTTGAGTTAGATAGGGTACCTATAAAATCAGTGAAAACGCCGAAAACAAAAGAATTTATAAAAGAAAGACAAGTGGGTACGAAGTCTAACTACACTCCCAACAACTTCATCAACAGGGATATAGATATTGGGTAATGAGTAAGGATCCTCTAGAGTGATTTTTCTCTAAAATTTCCTAGAGTGCTACATTGTGTGGTTGAGATTTACTGGTAAGTCACATTAATTTTTCTGATATTACTTGCCAGTAAATCTCAACCACACACTATAACACTTTAGGAAACTTTAGGAAAATTTCACTCTAGAGGATCCTTGGTGTTGGGTAATGGCCTTTTATGCAATTTATGTTGTTATATCAAATGGAGGTGTAAATTATTAACGGTTCTAAAATGGCAAATATGCACTCTCAACTTTATGCAAAAGTTAAAATGCCCTCTTCCCCATCATTAGAGGGGATGGATTACTCAACTCATAAAATTTAGAGTCCATGAAGACTCCATAAAGTTAAAGATGTGGAACACACCCACCAAATTTGCATTACTCTAGGCAGGACCACAAACAATATCGTTGGGTCCCCGGGATGGGTAAACACATTTTTGCAATGAACTGTTTCCTTTTTAGAAGGGAAGAAGATACTTGAAAGGCATGTGAAACTTAGATGAGTTCTAATTGTTTGATGAAAATTTGGCAAAGTTTTCTATGTACAAGCAATAAAGGGAAATCCCAGTGCACGAGTCTCCAAGCAATAAAGGGAAATCCCAGTGCACGAGTCTCCAACCATGGCAAAGTTTGGAGAGGGTACACTACTAAAGAAAGGATCTTTTGAGTCGGCAAATTTTACCGTCATAAAAGGTAGCCTTTTTGAGACGGCACAGAGTTGCTGACTAAAATATCAAACCTTTAGCGTCGGCACCGTTAGCCGACACAAAAAATTAATATTTGATAGCATTACTTGAGTCGGTTCAATTTACCGATGCAAAAGATAGACCTTTTAAGTCGGCAAATTTGTGCCGACGCAAAAAATTATACATTTTTGTGTCGGCAACTGATGCCGTAGCAAAAAAAATAATTTTATAACCAAGATATATATATATATATATATATATATTTACTTGATTATATTTAATAAATATATTTATTTATACATATACTTTTATATTAATATTGAGTGTATATACTATAAATAATATATATCTCATTTAATATCTGAAAGAGGTATGGTGGTCAAGTGGACTTAGTGTGGTGACTTCGGGTCAAATCGTCCAAATGGAGTGTGTTCGAAACTTGGGAGCCTTAATGAGAAAATTTTTTAAAATTTTTTTTAAAACATTTAACCACTTTTTGAGTCGGCAATCTACCGTCTCAAAAAATTGAAACTTTTTGCGTCGGCAGATTGCCGACTCAAAAACTTTTTGCGACCCCACCATTTTCGTCCCTTGAGTTGCTGTCGAAACGCTATCGCAAAAAGTTTTTGCGTCTACAAATTCGCTATTTGGACGGCATGCTGCCGACTCAAAAACCCTGTTTTCTAGTAGTGGTAAAATGTACATAATCTTACCTCGGCATGCAGAGACGCTGTTTCCATGGAAATAAAGAACATTATGTTATTTCATGTAAGTTTCTAAATAATTATGTATATTCAATTGTGTCAATCTATGACTGAAAAAGGAAATACTAATTAATTCCTATTTACACAATGACTGAAAAAGGAAATATTAACTAATTCCTATTTACACAATCATGCCATATATACACAACATGTCATATATACAATATATTCTCACATCTCCGCTCAAACTCAAGGTGTTTTAGAAGAAAACACTAAGAGTTTGCTAAGAAGAAACTAAAATCGAGCAGTAGTGTGAGTCTTGGTGAAGAAATCCGCAAGTTGCAAAGTCGATGAGACAAAAGGAAGTGAGATAGAGCCAAACTGCAGATGCTGTCGGACAAAGTGACAATCAATCTCAATGTGTTTCGTCCGTTCATAGAAGACAGTATTGTGGGCAATCTGAATAGTACTGCGGTTGTCACAATAAAGAGATGTCGGAGAAGATTGAGGTACACCCAACTCAGTTAAGAGACAACGAAGCCAAACAATCTCAGCAGTGGCATGAGCTATAGCACGGTACTTAGCCTCGACAGTGGAATGCGCAACAACGGTCTGTTTCTTTGCCTTTCAAAAGATCAAGGAATCACCAAGAAACATGCAGAAGCCAGAAGTGAGCTTGCGATTAGTGACATCACAGCCCAATCAAAATCAGCATAAGCCACCAAGTCCAAAGAGGAAGTAGAAGACAGCAGTAAAACCTGAAATATAGTGCCCTGGAGATAGCGAAGAATCCGAACCAAAATAGCCTAATGGGTAGAGTGAGGAGCAGAGACAAACTGGCTAACCATATGAACAACATAGGCAAGATCAGGACGAGTAACCGTCAGATAGACTAAGCAACCCATGAGCTCTCGATATAACGTGTGATCATCCAGAAGGACATAATCAGTAGAGTTGAGCTTCACATTAAGCTCAATAGGTGTATTAAAAACCTAAGTATCAGTAAGACCGGCACAGTGAATAACCTCATTAGCATACTTGGCTTGAGACAGAAAATAGCCGTTTGGAGAAGAGGTAACCTCAATACTAAGAAAATACAACAATGGACCAAGATCCTTCATTTTGAAGGTGCGGAAGAGATATTGCTTAACCTCAGAGATAGTAGAAAAGTCAGAGCTAGTGATGATCATATTATCCACAAAGAGTAGGAGAGTAACAAAACCAACCGAGGTACATTTCAGAAACAAAGTAGAGTTGGAAGCAGAAAGATGAAACCCAAGCTCGGTAATGACAGTCTGAAAACGATCATACCAACCATGATGTGACTGCTTCAAACCATACAGAGTATGCCGAAGATGATAAACCTACCTAGAGGAGTGGAGAAGACCAGGAGGAGGACGCATGTAGACCTCTTTAGTGAGATGACCGTTAAGAAAAGCATTTAACGTCCATCTAATAGAGAGGCCAATGTCGAATAGCAGCAACAAAAATCAAGGTATAGACAGTAGTCATCTTGGCAACAGGAGCAAATGTCTCCTCATAATCAATACCATGCTCTTGTGAGAAACCCTTGGCAACTAAGCGATCTTTGTAGCCCTCGAAAGAACCATTAGAATGAATCTTGACTTTATAAACCCATTTGCAACCAACCAGATTCTTGCCAGCAGGCATAGGAACCAACTCCCAAGTGTTAGTCTTCTGTTAGGCAAACAATTTATCTTTCATAGCTTGAACCCAATTAGGATCCTAACAGGCCTCCGTGTAAGACTGTGGTTTTAAAAAAGAATAAATAACAGACAAAAAGGTATGATAGGAAGTAGAAAAACATGTATTAGACCAACCCAACCTATTTGGAGGACAACGCTCACGAGGAGGATTTCGGTGTGCAGTAGGATTAAAGTCGTCAAAAGCAAAAGGAGCAGCAACAAGAGTAGAGACAACTGGTGGTAGAGGAGCCTGGCGACGAGAACAGACCAACAACGGAGGGGAAGAAGAAGCCGAAGGAGGAGAAGGAGCCATAGATGACGCAAACGGAGAAATAGGAATGGGCTCAAGTGGAACAGTGGAGATGTACTCATCAGACGGGACCTCAGAAAGAAAGGGGTCAATGTGAACCAAATTCTCTTTGGAAACTGGAGCAATGAGAAGGGGAAGTTGAAAGTAAGACAAACATTCAAGAAAGGCAACATAACGGGAGACATAAAGGAGACGAGAGACAGGATAGTAACAGTGGTAGCCTTTCTGAGTAAAATTGTAACTTAAAAAGACACAGAGAATAGATTAGGCACTAAGTTTGGTCTTATTTTTGTGGGGAAGAAGGACAAAACAGGCAGACCCAAACACACGAAGAATAGAGTAGTTAGGAATTTGGGAGAACAAAGCCTTATAAAGAGACCGACCAGAAAGAAGGGGAGTAGGCATGTGGTTGAGAAGAAAATCAGCAATAAGAACTACCTCCCCCTAGAATGGAGCCGGAACTGAGCCAGAAAGAAGAAGAGACCTAGCTGTCTCAAGGAGATGACGGTGTTAACGCTTGACTCGACCATTTTGGCAGGTATATATGTACAGGAAGTTTGGTGAATGGTACCCAAATTAGACAAATACTCACAGAACTCATTTTTAAAATATTCCCCATCCAAATCAGACCGTAACACTTTAATTGTAGACTCAAACTGAGTAGTAATCATAGACTGAAAGGTACGGTATATCTAATAGAAATCGGACTTATGAGTCATAAGATAAACTCAAGTGTAACAGGTGCAATCATCAACAAATGACACATAGTATGCAGAGCCCCCCTTGGTGAGAACAGGAGAAGGGCCCCAGACATCAGTATGAACTAAAGAAAACGGTGAAGTAGATATAGAAGTACTGTTACGGAAGGATAAGACTATCATTTTGGCAAGTTTACACCCCCGACACTCGGTAAGTTGACTAGGAGAAACTTTACCCAATATACCTGACTGAGCTAAAGACTGTAAGTGGTCAGCAGACAAATGCCCTAATCTGGAATGTTACAAATAGAAAAGACTGGATAGAGAATCTAATTGAAAAGAAGAAAAAGCAGTCAGAGAGGTAGGCATAGGTAGATGCAAGCTTTCCACCACATAGAGGTCTCCAACTCAACGGCCAGTCCCAATCTACTACTTGGACATCCGATCCTACATAGAACAGATAGAAGAAGAAAAGATAACATCAAAACCAAAGGCATCAAGTTGACTAATAGATAATAAATTGACAGACAACTGGGGAAAATATAAGATTGACGAAATAGAGACTGCGGACATAGCAGACGGTAGGACA